CTGACAACTAACGGTAAATTAACGGAAATGACCAAAAATGTGAAATTATTGAAACATGTGTGACCAAATGTGTTTTTTTGTATACATGAGGGACCAAACGTGGAATCGATGCAAACTTGAGAGGTGAAGACAGTAATTTTCCCATTCTTTTTTGGGTTAATAGCATTTCGCCACCTGGACTTTGCCCGTTTTTGCACTTTGCCACCTTAACTAAAAAAAGTTGCAAGCGCCCACCCAAACTCTGTTTTTTGACGCACATAACCACCTAAGGGGAATATTCCGGCGAATATTCTCATTTTTCAACGCATGCGAGATGCACATGCGAAAGTACAAGGGTTTTTTCGTATTTTCACCTGAAAATATCATAAGAGGGTGAAATTGAAAGTACCAGGGACTCAATTGAACTTAATTTGAAACTTTCACAAATTTGAAATTAATTGAAGCTTTGTGGCTTCATCTTCCATGAGATAAAAACACCACCACTGCACGCCTGTTTCAAAATGGAGAAAAAAAAATCTCCAATAAAGAGATGAAGAAGAACAACGCCATCAATCTGCTGAAATTCGCCATGGATGAGAGAGACGAAGAACCCAACTCCGGAAGTGATTGAATCGGATTTCGGATTCTCGTCGGATAGCCTGTGGTACCGCATGTACCACTGTTCTTCCTCGTCGCCGAGGTACCTTTTCACGACCGGCGAACTGATTTCCCACGAATTGTTGGGGGCCCAAATCGAAGACTAAAATCATACTTGTTCCCATCTTCAACATTCTGCCTCCTCATTAATTCTTGAACAATCGGTGAAGTGCCGACACACATCTCTGTCGAAAACTCCTCCATCATAAGTTGACGCCCAGTTCCCACTTCCTTAATCTTTTCCCACATCCCATCCTCCCTCAACTCGTTCACCACAAACTCCTTCCCGTTATCCAAATTCTTTATCATACACACTGCTTTAACATCTTCCGCCCCGTTACAATGCGAACCCTCGTCCAGCAAATTACCGAGGCTCCCAACGGTCGCAATCCAATCTAATCGACCCCGTTGGTGGTTTATTTGGGGAAAGATTACTGGTCACCGGAGATTCACTGCCGCTTCTTGATCTGTCCATACCGTAACAGATTCGATGGTTGCTCCGGTTATTATCAATATTATTTACATCTACACCGATTCCATCAATTACCAATATCAGTTGTTCACCGGGCCCAGGCGGTGGGTGTTTTGATCCCACGAAAGATGAAGCCACAGAGCTTCTTAATTTTGAATTTGTGAAAGTTTCAAATTAAGTTCAATTGAGTCCCTGGTATTTTCAATTTCACGCCCTTGTGATATTTTCAAGTAAAAAGACGAAAAAGTCCTTGTACTTTCGCATGTGCATCGCGCGTGCCTGGAAAATTAGAAGATTCGTCGGAATATTCCCCTTAGGTGGTTATATGCGTCAAAAAACTGAGTTTGGGTGGGCGCTTGCAACTTTTTTTAGTTAAGGTGGCAAAGTGCAAAAACGGGCAAAGTCCAGGTGGCGAAATGCTATTAACCCTTCTTTTTTCTATCCCGCTTTACGATTAAGGGCAAATTGCGGTCACCCCCTAAGGTAAAGTCAAATTACCAAAAAAAATATTTTGTATTTTGCGTAATTATAGTCACTCATCAACTATGTATTTCCTTACACGTTCACTATTACGTCGTTAAAATTTATAAAGGGGTGTTCATGCGGTCGGTAAACCGACCGACCCGAACAAAAATCCAGTACAAGTTCATGTTTTTGTTTTCTGCAAAATTGTGGGATTTTATTTTGTTGCATAAAATATTTTTCTATTTTTAAAGAAAGAAAAAGAATTGCTCTATTTCTTAGGCGAAATTTGGGATTTCCCGGTTTCGATCCCGAATTCACGATTAATTCCATTAGAGTAAATATTTAGGGATTATTTAGGGATTCAATTAATCCCGGTCTCGATTATTTCCCGAAATATTTAGAGGTTCGCAATTCACCGGGATTATTTTGATCATTTATATCTCTGTCATACTGGCTAATTTTAGCATCGTAGTCAAGTGTTAGAGTAACATATGCCATTCAACTATTTGTAAACAATTCCAGCATGATACAATTTTCTGCAGAATTCGGTCTTTTATCTTTATTCATAACAAAGCTTCAACTCAAAAAACCACCGGTAAATCCAAACCGAAGTAAAGAAAAGAAAGAAAAAAAGATAACGAAGGGAAGTACAATCCGTCACACAAACACAATTAAACTATTATTATTGTCAAATTACCGAAAAATCGAGAATTTCTCCTCAAGCTCTCTTCTGCAGCCACTCGAAGAATTTAACCTGTGAAGCCATTGTGTCGAGCCTATACAACTGGTACCAGTGGTTAGCCACTTCAATTCCAAAAGTTCCACCTACTGCTGCTCCGAAAGCAAACGAAAGTGCAGCACCTGCCAAATTAATACACTATATTAACTACCAAGTCTATTCACATCCAATACAAATTGTTTGCGTTAGGACCGCTCAAAAAGACCATTTTCAACGAAATTAAATGTTTTTTCTCCAATATTTATGATTGCTATATATTACTACATGATATATACATATGTGAACATGTGTAAGCAGGAGAAACAATAAAGCCTATGTTCCATGCAAATCTCAAAAAGTGCACACCGGAGATTAAACAAAAAGCAAATGGTGTTAACTGAAAAGAAAAATTAATAACTAACGGAAGCACAATGTAATGGGAGCTTATTGGACTTATGTTATCAGATAACTAAAGTAAAAGCGGTTACATAGCACAGGAACACGGTTAGTTCTCGTTGTTTTTACGTTTATTTCTTTTACTAATGACTGAAGACAGTATTCAAGACTCAAGTAGTCACACTTGCTAGGAGCTCTTTGACAAGTTGCATTTAGCCACATAGAAAGAACTAGAGCAAGTTCGTTCATTTACGTAAAATAAAATAAAAAATACAATGCCATCCCAAGCTCATGTTCGTTCAAATCTCAAAAACTGCACACTGGAGTTGTAAGCAAAACGAAAACGGCGTAAACGGGGAAAAGGGAAAAAAAGGGTTAATAACTAATGGTGCCACTAAGTGGAAACGGGAGCTCATTAGTCTTATGTTATCAGATAACTGCAGACATTACATTATTTCCTGTTTATTACTTGTGATTAATCGTTTAACAACAATGGTCAAGTAGTTGCACTTGCTAGGGGAGCTCTTTAACGAGACGTATTTATCCACATACAGGGAAGTAGGAACTAGGAGAAGTTCATAAATGTATGTAACACGAAAAAGAAAATAAAAAAAAAAGTCAACCGTACCATGAGGGCTCTTTGACCACTTCCAAGCATATCCAGCAGTTGTAATTGCTCCAACAGCAGCACCTACCATACCGAACTGTGCTGCTTCCCTCGCAGTCTTCAGCTGAACGAGGTGGCAAGAAACGAGATAAGAGATACAGGGAATTACGAGAATATTGAAAGGAATAAAGAAGTTACTAAAAATCGATTTAATTATCATACTTCGTAACCACAAAATAAAGAAAAAATAACGAGAAAGCCCTCAGCTGAACTTTCGAAATCCAGTATTCACAATTTTCGTCATTACCTGTAATCCAATAACAGAGTCCCAAAGAGGCTACACAAGTAAAGAGACGAAAATACAAGAGCAAAAGATGGAAATAGAACCCCACCCAAACAAACGACTCAATATTACACACATGGCTCGGAAAACCAAAATCCAATCGAGTAAGCAGGTGAGTTAGATGTGAATAATCGGAAAAAATGAACGGAGTGACCAAGAGCTGCAATACTCAAAAAAATCCTATATAACCTTTTGTTTCTTTTATAACATAGATCAAACAATCAAGATATCACAAACATACACATCAAATTTGTAATTAAATCTATTCCTCGACAGCTGTTCTTCCATTAAAATTACTAAAGACAAAGCATCTGTACTTCAGATGAACAACAATTGGGCACTAATCATATCCCATAGGATATAATAAAAAAAACGAAATCCCTAAAAACACACACATAGATTGATTGACAAACACAAAATAGAAGACCCAATAAATTTCCCATCATTAATCGGAGAATAAACACGACAAACAAACAAACAAATAACACAAAATAAAATAAAATAAAAAAATTACAGAGATGTAGGATATGAGAAAATATACAGTGGGTCCGTGGACGGGATCAGATGCGATGAACTCTTCAACGACGGAGCTATCCCAATGGGGCAAAGGCTTCTCTGAGTAAATAATTTTGGAATAATTATCCAGAAACGAGAATCTCTCGCCCCAAAATTCCTTGTAACCTTGCCAGTGATTTTTGAAGAACGATATCGGCCCCTGATTTTCGCTCATCTTTATTCTTTCCTTGTTGAAACGATTGGTTTTAGGGATTCGAATTTCAGGATTGTATAATAAACGGAGAAGAGAAGCTTTTCATCAATTTTCTGAGAGTGTACGACTGTGTCGATGGTGTTTTTTACACGATCAGGTGGTGTGATTCTCTGAAACGAGTCTACGGTCCACTGTGGTGGAGACCTGGCTCAACCAGTATTTTTCTGCCACGTCACGTAATCATAACCTTATACATAATTATTTCATTACGTCAATTAATTAATTTATAAAGGTTTAACTTTATATATATATATATAATTATAATTCATAATTTTTTTTCTTTTTATTGTCTCCAAACATTGTTATCTAAGTAGCCCCACGAAATCTAAATAAATGGTGGGGTTTATATTTTTTTAAATTGAATTAGTACATAGTAGATAAAAACATATAACATATTCAAATTTTATTAATCTAATTAAATATAAATAAAAATAAGACAGCCGTATAAATAGTTTTCCTAAGTTAGCCATCTTAATCAATTTACCTTGCCATGAATTGAAATTTTTTAATTCAATGAGAACTTAGAAGAAGAATTTCAAATTACCCCATTTTAAATAATTTTCAAATCCATTCTCAACTAAATCTATAGTGTTATCATTTGAAACGTTAATTTTACCAAATACGTAGATTTTATAAAACAAATACAATTCAAATCCTTGTATTTACCCAAAATTAAAAAAAGGGCCCAAAAAAAAACAGATCAATAAAACAACAGAATCTGCTTCACAAATAACAGTTCCATAAATCTGCACCCAATAAACAACCAAAATAGGGGCAGAAAAAAACCCGCTTAACTATGCGGGTCATCTCTTTCTCTTGGAAGCGGATCCGGATCCGGATCCAGACCCACGACCCGCTCTCTGATTTGAGGTTGCAGTTGCAGCACTTCCCTTCCCTCTGCCTGCAGGCGCCTTTTTGGCGCCGGAACTTCCAGAACCCTTCAACTCAAGTTCTACTTTAATGGCTGAGAAATCACAACAAATATTAATCAAAACATAGACCAGAAATACAATTGTATTAAATGTTTAATATAAAACTACATATAATTTCGCATTGTGTGTAAGTACAAACCCTTTGAGTTTAGGCTCTCGAGATTCGATTCCACGCTCTTCTTCTTCAAATCATCCAAATCATCATCTGAAACAAACCCCAGGGTAAAAAATAAAATTCACCATCATAACTATTTCAATGGTGGATAAAATGCATATAATACAGAAAAACCAACAGAACATGCAGAACAGCTCACAAAAGCTACAGCAGAAATCTCGATATATAACTGATTCGTACTAGGTCATAACAAAAGAAGCAATCACAACGAGTAAACGTAAGAATATACCCACCCTGGTTCTCGTCATCAGATGGGGTTCCTTCTTCATTTTCTTCGGCTAAACTGCCTTCAAGAGGTTCTAGCATAGCTGCGATTCGTTTCTTTGGAGCTTTTTTGAAATTACTAATTGTGACTAAGTCTGCAGCCCTGACCACACGCAGTGAACTGCCTTTGTTATAAGCTCTGGTCAGAGCAGCTTTTACTGCCGGTTGTATGCCGTCCAATGGATTTGGATGCCCCTAAAGCATTGTAAGAAGAAGCAAATCAGAATAAATTTAAAAAAAAAAACTTTAAAAAAAACGTGACTTAGGTCACAAAAGTAAAATGTCAAAATGCACCTTAAATTTCGACATCTCGACGATCGTATCATAGTCCTCCATGCTAATGGAGTATGAATCCATGAACTTCACAACAGTCTCAACAGCTTCATCCTAGCAAATTTATTCCAAAGAAAAAGAAAAGATAGGAAAGTTCAGAAAAAAGAACACAAATCAAACTTAGGGAGGCTGATATCAACATGGAATACAATTAAAACCAACCTTGGGTAGCACCCTTAAAGGATCGGTCAACCGTTTTAGAAGAAGAGTAAGGCAGTCGAGTCGAATTGTCGCCCTTCCTAAATCAGATTCACGAGAAGTGAGAAGATGAACATGCAGATCCTCCAATAGTCTGTAGTTCTTCCCCATGGTAGAGTTCTTTCCCAGCCAACCACCAAATCTATTGAAATTTCGTTCCCCCTACAAAGTTCAAACAATTTCCAATAAAAACCATGCACCTTTAGTTAGCAAAGTAAGTTCGAGCTATGCAAGCAGAAGGTGTGAAATAAGATAATGTACAAAAGAGAACCACGTATACAAAAGCCGGAAGCTATCTCTAATTCCTCAATGCTAATCACTACATGATTATTTCCAAGCTGTTTCATCTACTGTAACTAATCTATTTTCTTAGCAGTGGTTGAATGAATACCATTAGTTAGTTAAACCACAAAAAGGAACAAAAAAAGAATAAAAACTGTAGTGTAATATGCAATGAGCATAAATAATGTAATAGTATCACAAATCACCTGCTCAAGTATTTCCCGTGACCCATGCAACAAAGCCGCACTGAGTTAAAAAAAAAATCAAAAAAGGTGGTTAACAATCAGCATCGTCAGTAAGAAAAATAACCAGTTCCAGAACTGAATCTAGAGAACTTACGGAATTATGCAAGACGTAAGAGAACCAAACTGAGAGAGCTGCCACTGCCGGTATCTTCGAATCTGGACATTGATAATATCACCATCCCCAATTGACTCAGCAGCCCGAGCAATTAAGCTCATCCTTTTCATTCCATTATCATCTTTACCAGCTGAACTTGGTCTATAATTAATGTAGTTTTCCTGAAATCAAGGGTGAAGTAACCTAAGATGTTAAAATGCATACGGTAACATCGCATGAACTTGATGCATCTGACACACACTATTACTAATATATTATATGGCAGAAATTCTCATCCTCGTCATTCTTCCACAGTATTTAACCAATAAGCTCACTAATGTTGGTACAAGCAATACCTGTATAAGAAGAGGAACAAGATCAGGATCACTCATGCTGAGGTCGATTCTCTCATCCATTCGCAACTTTCCAGCATTAAAGCCAAATAGTCTGTAACAAGAAGATATGACTATGTTAACTAGCAGTTTCAAATGAGAAACTTACATATCAAGAGAACCGCCTCAAATTAACAAATGACTTGATAAAATTAGTATATCAAAAACATTTTTTTTGATATACACACTCGTAAAGCAAAAACAAACTCCCAGCTAGGGGCCCTAAAATTAGCATGTAAGACCAAAAATATGGACATAAAATAAAACCTGAACAAAAGAGCTACACACAGATGACAATAGTATTGACAAAAATATACAAACATCTGAAGGTATCATACTTGTCAACAGCTGTGAAGGGGGAAATATCTTCATCCTTTGAACTGCTTTGAAGGCGTTGTTTAATGTCATCAAATTTAATTACTGACATCGAGAGACTCATATACTGCAGTTGGTTGATGGCCATACGAATATCTCCATTAGATCTTTCAGCGAGTTCCTCAAGTGCAATCTATGATAAGAACGCACCATAGTGATCAGTATATGCATCGAAATACAATGAAATGGGACAAATAGTCATTCTATTCATAATCCAAGATGGAAGAAAATAAAACAAGAAAAATCTGAAGATATACGAATAACACTGAAGTAGATTATTTACGAAGCCAACAAAATTATTCATAGAAAAGTTATGGTCCAAGAAAAAAAATCCTGAAAGCGGAAGTACCTCGTTCACTTGAATGCCTTCGGCTTTTGCTATATGTGATAACCTTTTAGCCATCTGCCATTGCCATGGAGATATCAAGTTAATGATTTAACTAAAAATAATAACCATCGTGCTTAATATGCAACAACAGAGTTAAACAAAAATAGCAATTCAAGAGCACTTACTTCATTTCCACGTCAACCAAAAAGTTCACATGTCAAAGGTTGAAGCAAATTACCAACAGACAAAGTTCAAATTACACCTAACTTTTAGTAAAGACGAAAATGACATTTTTACTAGAAACTGGAGACCTGGAGACGTAATTTTAACTGATTCATTGAGTTGAACGACATACTATTTAAGGTGAAATATTAAAATAGCATGAAACCAATGATAACCATCAGACGCGTTTTCAAATTATCTGGATCCGAAGATAACATGTTGAGTTCTCCAGGCCACAGAACACATTCAAGACTCAGGTATATGGAAATCTGAAAGTGCAATGGATAGACACTCTGGTGTATCCTCTCTTACTAGAAAAAACGGTGTTCTATTTTAATTGGAGCATATATACATATCAAAATCTTCAATAATTGTATCACACCGAGCCCCAACACCATAATGCAGGAACATACGAATATGAAGCATTTCTACTCTTGAGTTTGTAGATCATATCTAGAACAAAAAATCAGAACGGACCTGCTGCTTTGTTGGCTTTCGGAAGCTAAGAAGTAGGCAGTAGTTCATAAGGCTCTTAAGTTTCTGACTGTAGCGATCATTACAGATGCATATTATAGGAACTTTTGAGATTTTTATGCTGGCAATAAGATCAGCCACTCCACCTCTGTCTCCAGCAGACATACCATCAACTTCATCCATAATAAGAACAGTCTTTTGTTGTTGAGTGCTGCAACATTAGTCAAATAAAAATACATGAATACACTACTGAGTTGCTATCTAATGCAAAGGAAAGAGTCAATTCCAACCGTTCCATTTTATGACTCAGGGATTCATTGCTAACAAGTTCTTTGACAGAATTAGAAGTGCTCCCACCAATTCCTTTCTGAATTTTAGCATCAGCCTTTCCACGACTATCACTAGCATTAACCTAAACAAAAAGAATGTAATTCTTAGATCAAGAATGGTAAAACATATATAATTTCAAAGGAGGGGGTGGAGGGCGGTAAATATAAAGCCTTACCTCAATAGCCTGAAACCCAAGCATCTGACTAATCAACTTTGCTGAAGTGGTCTTCCCAATGCCAGGTGTCCCACTCAACAGCACAGCTTTCTTAGGACCAGAATCACTCTGCTTCTTTCCCTTTTCTTTTTTTCCTGTGTTAAGGAATTGTTCATTCCAACTTACTAGCCAATCATGGAGCTGTTTCACCTGCATTCAGCCTCATACTGTCACTAAAGCATTTACGATGAATCTCCGTAAAGTTCAATTCCCAAAAGGATATTCTGAACACATACCAATGACTGATTCCCAACAATATCATTTGGAACCTTTGGCCTATATTTTTCAGTCCATGGCAGCGAAGTTTGTGCAGCAGGCTGATTTTTTCGCTTGGGAGAAGCTGCTACAGAGACTGGTCCTTTTGTATCTGATCCAGCTTGTTCTAGAAAAGAAATGGAGTCAACCAGTAGTTTTATTTTGAAAATACACTGTAAAGCAGAATAAACTAAGGTTGCATTCGGATAGGGTGATTTGAGGGAAGGATTTCAAATCACCATAAGAACAAATTCATTGAATTTGCTTGGATTGAATACTTTGATAATGTATTTTAACCTCATAAGGCCTTGACATATAATTTAAACCCCAATGTCAGCTACGTGAAAAAACCAGACTATGATTCATTGAAACATACTAGTTTTTTCCGACTTTTGAGGGCTCTTTTTAGGAGCAGGTGTTGCAACCTTATCCACCCGCTTATTTGGAACTTGTGCAGCAGGTTTTGATTTATTTGATGAACGAATGATATCAAACAGACCATCCTCTGTAAGGAAAGCAGTACTGCAGAGGAGATAAGAGATAAATATTAACAACAAAAGACCAAAAATAGAATGCTCTTAGTATCACCAAAAACGACATAAAGATGAACATGAAGAACTTGCCCAAGCTCCTTTGCCTTCTCAGACTTCCTTCCACCAATATCTTCATCACATAGAAGATAATTCTGCAAGAAACTGTGTAAGCTATAAACTGATAAAATAACCCAAGGATATAGCATTATTAAGATATATGAATCAATAAAATAGTCACCGTCTTTTTGCTGATGGATCCTGTAACACGTCCACCATGGCGTTTGATCAAATCTTCAGCTTCTTCTCTTTCTAAACTGAAAGAACAGAACAAAGAAATGGCAACCCTAAACTGAATCAAAAAAGAGGTAAAGCAAACAAAGATAGGAAGACACCACATCACCATATAATTAGAATATACTATTCAGATATACATCCAACATATGCTTATGGAACTGTATGAGCTAATGCAGTAAAAAGAGTATATGCAATTAAAATACAAACGTCTGAGCACTATTCAGTATCCATACAAACCCATATGAGATAGAAGGATCACCTGTCAAGTGTTCCGCTAATCACAAAAGTCAAACCATCTAAGCAATTAGCAGCACCTTCAGGAACTTCCTGCCACCGAAAAAATGAACAATTATCAACATGTGGAATTTCATAGAAAGATTTAAATTCCGTAATGTTCTTACCTTTTCTCCTTTGTGAGGAGGATCTTTCCTCTCACCAAAGTTCATGAATCCACCCCTCCCTCCACCACCTCTGCCTCTCCCACCAGCTGCCGCCCCTGCCCCTCTTCCACCACGGCCTCTTCCGGCAGGTTTCATCGATTCAGCATCCTTATTATCCACATCCTCTGCATCAACTTCATCAACATCCATACTCTCTGCCATACTTGAAGTTTTGGAAGAACCTTTTGCACCACGACCCCTACCACTTCCACCGGATTTTGAATTAGATTTTATTTTTTCACCATCATCTTCATTAGTTTCATCAGCAATTTTTTGAGCTACTCCTTTACCAGAACCACTTTTCAGCTTTTTGTTTGGAGTAATAGAAACTGAACTCTTTCTTGAAGTAGGGGCAAAATCATCATCATCGTCATCATTCTCAAGTTTGAGGGTTCTTTTTCCAGTTGGGGGCTTCACATTACTGACCAACTCCTTTGCCGTCTTTTTTGCAGGAGCTTCTTCAACGTCCATCTCATCTTTTACACCTTGTCCATCTTTAGCAAAATATTTGCTTGTTTTCCTCCTGCCAGATAATTCTTGAACTTCTTCTACCTAGCAATTAGGATTCCCCATAAATAGAAAGAAAAAAAAATTAATCTAAGCCTTTAATTTCTCTATGTTAACCAAATAAAAATAAAAATTGGCAGCAACATCTGACATTCTTTATTTTCATGCAGTGTCCATGTTACCACCCAAATGTTTGCATTCCTCAGATACAAAGCTAAGTAAACCAGGGACACCAGAAAGTCCGACAATACCAGTTCAAAATATTTAAAAGGAAGGGGACGTTGTCAATACTTCTTTTACAATTAATTATTTTATCTCATCTGCAAATTATGTTTTCGAGGTAATCATTTGAAACACACTCGTTACAAAACTGACCTAACTCTTTCTAAAAGCAGAAATAGAACGAATTACAAATGCATATATGTCAAGTTTCTACATCTACCATAAGAAAATATCAACAATCTAGGAATGGATAATTGAATTTTATGAGCAGAACAAAAATCGAGAAATCAGGTCTGCATGAACAAACCATTTTCCCAGGCCTTTTCTCTGGTGTCGAGGGCTTTGCCTGATTTGATGCACTGCCGTTCCCACTGTCTTTTTCGTGTTTCTTCATGAACCATTTTCTTATATCTTGTGACTGCAGTCCAGAATATATATCAAAATTAGGAAACACAAACAAAATGGCTTTATTGATAACCAAGACACAATTATGACTATGAATATGCAAACAAAGCAGTTGCATGTGCAATTTGTGATTGACGCTGAAATTAATCTCCAACATACCATCTCTAATTCTTGAAATTGGCCTCACCCTGCGAGTTTCTTACCTTCAGTGTACCATCTGAAACAAGAAACAACACAAAATTCTTGCATAAAAAATACACAAAACGGCACAAAATTGGAGATACAAGAGCATGGGTGGAACAAATCAAATTGATCTTCCACAAAAGGATTAGGGTTTATGGTTCAGTATGTCGAGAAATACTGAAAAGGATTAGGGTTTATGGTTGTGTTCGATGAACTGAAAAACATCGAACACAACCAGACCGAATTACAATGTCAACCAATACACAGGCCGAAAATTAAATTATACACAAAGAAAATTCATTCCGTGAGAGAGAAGAGAGATGAATTACTGAATCACTGCATATTATATCAAAATATTTCTTCAATGTTGTCTGCGAACACAAAACCCCGGAACATC